AAGATGATAAGTATGACACACCGATTGATTATGTAACACACTCATCGATTTATATTTCTCAGTGTTTAGTTAAATTAGCTACTGGTTATACGAGTGATATACGATTAAGGTAAGTATACAGGAGAATAGTGTCAGATTGGCCGGTTATTTTGCGGTATATTACGGAATCCTCAGCAAGGAGGCAAATAGAAGAAGACAAGTTCTGGCACCAAGTCATTAACGTAAATAGAAAAGAGTAGCGGGACAAATACTGAGCCCTGTGGGACACCCGAGGTGACTAGAACAGTACACGAATTCGTAATATTAGCAGTAACGAATTGTAGGCGGTTAGTTAAAAGGCATGAAATCTATTTAGTGTACAGGAGTCAATGTTAAGTGATTGTAGGTTATGGAGAAGGAGTTTGTGAAAATATTCGTCAAACGCTTTTGAGAAATCTAAAAGCGAATAACAATTGGTTTTATCATGATATTTTAAGAGAATGCTGCAGATAATTCGTTAGGATAGTAGTTGCGTCTCACATAAAATGTTTTCTAAAGCCATGTTATGAACTTGTGACAAAGTCATTAGTTTCAAGATACTTCACCAACTGCGAGTAAATGACATGTACAAATATTTTACATGGCACACTTGTTAAAAAATTGGCTGATAAATAAATTGGTTTTGTTCTTCGCCAGGTTTGTATAAAGGAACCACCTTCCCAACCAACCAATCGCTTGGGACTACGCCATGGATAAGAAACTGCATATAAAGTTTTGAGAGAATCATTGAACCATACATATTACAATTGCTGTCAGTCCCATCTTTTCCGGCGCTGTACGAAAGATTCATTTTATTACGAAATTAAAAGTAGCGCTAAAGACGAGGACAAGTGGAAGACACAGACACGGACAGGCGCTGACTCACAACTGATATTTAGTGAAGAATGAAAGGAAGATAAAGCAGAAGTGCAAGGACAGATACGAAATGAAAAAGAAGACTAACCAAAACAAAAGAAAGCAACAATTGTTTTTGTCTTCAAAATTAAGAAATTAGAAAATAAGGAATAAAAAAAAAGTAAGAAAAATATGAGGCGCAAGTCATAGCAGCTAAAGGGGATACATGCATCAGTGCACCGTCGGTAGCCTTATCGGCGAAGGAATGGCACTACTTACAATATTTGGTGTGAGCACTTCGTTTAACTAGATTAATTTTCAGAGTCCTCTTCTTCCTCTTTCTTTTTCTTTCTTTCATTTAATTGGAGTAGGTTTTCATTTGAATTTTTTGTGTAAATTTTTAATTTTTACCGTACTTTTTTCTTATTTCTTAATTTTGAAGTCAAAAATAATTGTTGCTTTCTTTCGTTTTGGTTAGTCTTCTTTTTATTTTCGTATATATGTCCTTGCACTTCTGCTTTATCTTTCTTTTATTCTTCACTAAATATCAGTTGTGAGTCAGCGCCTGTCCGTGTCTGTGTCTTCCACTTGTCCTCGTCTTTAGCGCCACTTTTAGTTTCGTAATGTATAACCAACTAGCCCGTCACGTGATCCTAGTTCATATTATTAACAATGCCAGCAACACCGACCACCTCTACTGCCACTGGGTCCATAGTCAAAAAAACAGAAAATGAAAATACCGGTACTTGGTTAACGTCGAAGGTTGTAAAGCGCATACTAAAAGCATCATTTAATACACTTGCACTTTCAGCTACGGGTATATCTATACCATCAGATGGTTTAATGTTTGTAATCGTTTGAAACCGAAGAGGAGAAGGCGATCTCGGGATATTTTTTGAGAACAATATTGACTCTGTACCGTTTGTTTCTGAGATATAAACACATTTCGAATAAAAGACTACCACGGCAGAGATATACCATTTTGCAGCAAATATTCCACACGCCGGTAATCTTTTCAAGCAGTGAGAGCCGAGAAACGGAGCGGGATAGCTATAGCACTTTTTGTTATGTGCTGCCTCCACCTAAATTGCGTCTGGCGACATAAATATTGCGCAAAATATTTTTTCTTGTAGAAATGTTTCTTTTAATAATATGAGTCCCATCTAGGACATTCACAAATGTATTTATTTTATTTCAGTGCCTATTACTCTGCCAACGAGTGTCTATAGACCTTTCACTTTCCCTCTTACATGGGGGAAAGAGTCTTGTGGCACGCTTCCAATGACACGCCGCGTGAACCTGAGGGGATGAAATCGGGGGACATCATAGCTAGCTGGCGCCGCAGGGAGCTATGTGCGTGACACAACTTCCGCGACAGCGTAAAAACGAGGCGCAGCGACGCCGCACTTTGCGCGTAACCGCCGACACCCGGGAGGAAAGATTGGCTCTTCGAAGACAACATTATGGGCACCACAGCGAGGTTCAAATTCCCACCCTTCGCCGAGTCGGAACCCATGCGCTAAAGGCTAACGCGTTTCATCGAGGATCAGCGTACTGACAGCGGTGATTTCGGAATACTTTTTCTGCATATAAATGCACAATAAAGTCGAACCGTAATGTGGAAACATTTATTCAAAAATTTCACACGCACCCTCAAACTATGATCTCCTGTAGCAGCTTGTTCACCTGCAGCTCAAAGTTGAGGTTTCTGGAGGTTGCCCTTTCTGGAAGCAGGTTGGTGTCATTGCAGATACCAAAGAGCGCGTGTCATTGCTAAGCGACGTTAAAAAAAAAAAAAACTATTTGCTGTTGTGCAAATCTTCAACAATGTTCGTAGCACACAACAAGATATAGCAGCAATCCCGCGAAAAAGTTCACTCCTCCAACCAGCCGGTATACGTTGTCGTACACCCCTTGAAAATCTCGGAAATAACCTGAAAGAAATGGTAATACGAAATAAGCCCGCAATAAAACGTTTTTCCGGCCAAAAAAAAATAAAGCTTCAACGAAAAAACTGTTTTTGGCCCAATTTGCAAAAAATAATGCCGCGCTTGTATTAGTGCAACTGCACTTCTATAGTCAACAAGCTACAGGTAACATTATTATTCGCAAATTGTTTCTTCAAAAATAGGTGCCCTTCTAGATTTTGTTTAAAGGGCCAATGAAAGAAAAAGTTTTTTTTCAACAACCTGGGTGAGTGTCTCACCCAGGTGTGTCAAAAAATAAATTTTACACGAAAAAAAAACACTTTTTTTAGCGCAATATGGACGGCGAGGGATTTATTTTGAAATTCTGCGCGCACTGGTCCACGACGTCACACAATTGTAATTCGCTCAACGAGACGGTCATCCGCCCTTTCCACCTCAACGTGAAGGCGAAGCCAATCCACCTCTTTTCCACGCGCCTGAAAGGCCGAGAGAGAAAACAAGTGGAAAGAAGTGATTACCGACTAAATCGCGTCTCGCGCCGTCAATTTTTCTCTAAAAATGTTCTTCGCGTAAAAAATTTTCTTTTTTTTACATGCATGTCCTAACCAGACTGGTTAAAAAAAACATTTTTTTTCTTTTTAGGGGCCCTTTAATCATTTTCTATTCTTCACAGCGCGTTATTAGCTTTTACTTTTGGTGCAACCATAGAAAACGAAAAAAACAAACAAAAAAACTGGCAAGGTAACGCAAGCTACCTCTCTAACAAAAAGGAAAGCCGTTTTTATATTCTATCGCGGTGCGGCGTTCCTCAGAGATAACTAAGAGGCTTACGCTTCGTGAGTGCACCCTGCCGTGGATTTATCTCTTTAGTTGTTGAAATCTCTGCGTACGTAGTATTGACATATCATTTAAAGCAGTTTTATGCCCAATTTCTACGCTTTTTTTTTTTTACTGAATACGAGGTACGTTAGTTTGTTCATGACTGTTTATCAGAGTAAAAGTTTACTTGGAGAACATAACCCAAAACATTGCCGGTTAAATACAATACTTCGTTGTTGTTTTTTTGTTTTTTGGGGGTATGGTGGTTTGTGTTATACGGCACATGGAACTTGTTTCTCGACAGGAATCTTTAGCACAGTATATCTTTTATGAATCGGAATGCGCAAAAAAATGCCAATTGTGTCAGAGGGCCATATAAAAAAGGGGCTAGACCATTGACATTCTGGGGCTGGCTTTTAGAAGCAATTGTTTTGCGGGCCAATAGGCGCGAGAGTCGCCGACGTTGGGACGTTTAATCAACCGTCTGCTGTAGACTGAACGGCTGAAGAGAAGGCTTCAGCTGAGCATATGTATGACGTTTTCACATCAACGTCCGGATACCGGAACTATCCCTAGAACCACCAGTAATTCTACGAGGAACAATTTAACGCGAAAACAAAGATTCAGGAAACACACCGATCTGTTCACAGGGATTATTCTGGTACGAAAACGTTGTTAGAATGAGCCCAAATCTACTGAGTTTGAAGTATTAGTTCTTCTGTGGTCCAGCCACTCTATTTCCTATTATCCGCTACGACTATCACTGAAGACTCATTGTTTCCTTTCACAATATAAGCTAGGTGCTTCCGGAGTGACATTGTTTTGCAATTTTTCGACGTTAACTAAAATAGAGCGAAATGATTGGTGCACTGATGTAGATACATCATTGTGACAGGCGCTGAACGTTCCCATGTCCCTAGAGAACAACATGGCATTCGCTCATGAGACACCGGAATAACTGTCTGTGCCGCATTAACCTTCACTTAACGCCTAAAGTGTCACAATACGCGGCATTGCGAACACTTGCTTGAAAGAGCATTCGTTAATTGTTGCGTTGTGTATTGCTAGTGTTTCGTGAAGGGTTAATGGGGAAATGAAAGTGGAAAGCAAGATGTGCACGTGTTTTGAATAGCATGTGCGTACGAGAGCCCTGGCCTACTTTTGCATGCCCTGGGTCTGTGTTAGCTGTAAGGGTCAAAAACAATGTTCGTAATTGATAGCATGAAGCAAAATATGCTAATGAGAGAAAACTCAGTTTTTTGTTGATCTCTTGGTCACTATTGATATTACGCGCCACACGGGCAGTGACAAGTTACAGGTACGTTGCCGTTGGACGTTGCGAGAGGTTTCAATAATTTATTGAGAAATTCGTAACTCACTTTACTTACCGACTACTCGGGGAGCGGATAGAACTAGGGGCACAATCAGAAGACCCGAAGCTCCATAGCAGACCGAAATCTGTCCGACGCCAAGGTAGTCGGCCATCAACACTGTCTTCATCGTGATGATGCAAGCAAGGAACATGATGACGCAAAATGAGGCCAGAACGAGCCACGCAAAAGAGGTAACATATGGAAGGAGTGTCATAGAGGGTCCCAGGAGCAGGTGGCAGCACAGGACGAGGCTGCTACGTCGCAAGTACTTCCTGTCAGCCAAGAGAGGAAGAGCCAAGCGCCCGACAAAGTCTGATACTGAAGAATACAATATGATCGAAGTGGCCTTGAATAAAGGAGCACCCTTGTCCTGGCCATAGTCTACGATGGTTGTCGCAAAGACGACATGAGAGTAATGAACTATAGCGCACGATATTGCAATTACGTAAAACATTGGGTTAAGCAGCATTGCACGTAGGCCCGGTGGATTATCAGTTGTATTAGCAGCATTATCGCTGGAAGCTTTGATGAGTATTCTTGAATGTGAAGCTTCTAAAGGTAGAATGTTTACTAAGGTTGGATGTTCAGGGATATCTTCGATATTCTGAAGCGGTGATGCCCATTGCGGCTCTCTCAAGGTAATGGTGAATGCAGTTGTGTGCATTGTTATTCCACCGAGGATCAACAGCATTCCATAGAAATTGTAGGTATCCTTAAGATAAAGAAGCAGGTACGGGAACGCGATGCTGCTGCAGGTTTCTCCTACGAACCGAACTCCACTTGCAATTCCTCTGTATTTGTCAAAATACTCCACGACAATGGTGGCAAGAGTGACGGTCATGACACCGGTTCCGGAACCTGCATTGGTAGAAAAAATGAACAAGGTTGATTAGCACCCATTATTTTTCTGAACAGGCGCAGTGTTGTTTAGAATCTTATAAGAAAATACCTGGCGTCGAATGAATTTTTCTCTCCAGAAAGTGCTTGAAAGTATTTAAATAAACGCAAAGATTTGTTTTGTATAAGTTAGTTGCTGCAGCGGCCGGCTGCAACGATCGTCGGTTAGAGCCATCATACTTCAGTTCCCACATGAATTGCTTCGGCGCCTTTTAAATCTACAAGTAGAGGCTTAAAGACCTGGATTAATATGATCGATGATGTTGCGTAAAATCTTGCCTGCATAGCTCGTGTACTCTTCGATATTTCTTATAGGTATACTGCCATTACGTGGGCTATTTTGGTTTGCCTTAAGCGGTACGTCACTTCTTAAATCCAAGATAGTTACAGATATTAGGGTTTATTCTAAGCGAACTGGTTAATAAAACCTTGCAATTAAACGTTCGTTTCTTCCGTATTGGTAATTAGCCTGAATTACGTACAAATGCTTTCTTTAAGCTTTTATAGTTTGTAGGAAAGATTTCTAATAAAGCAATGCACAAGCTTACCGTGTATTGCGCCGTACGTCAGTGACAACCCGATGATGCTCGATGTGAAAAAAGATGCGATTAGACCAGACCAGGTAAGCACGCTGCCTATCCTCATGATTTGGATCAACGATAATTTTTTCTGCAGTATCCGAACAGTGATGCCTGCGCGGACGTAATGGAGTACAGATATCATAAATAGTTGTCATGTGATTATTTGGTCAAGTCATGTTGCAGACTTCACCGTTACATGCAGAATGGGCAGTAGAACACAGCCAAAATCTCCTGCACATCCAACACGAGAAAGCAACGTAATGCAATAGCTAATATGCAAATGCGTATATATGAGCAGCCCATAATCTAAGCGTGCTGGATCATCCTGAAATTTTAATTTGTATATAAATATAATTTGTGTCTGCTATTTCTAGCAGAGTAATTAATGTTTTAAATTTAAAGTAATTAGATACTGTTGATGACCGGACGCGGAACTTTCCATGACAAAAACATTTAAAGGAAGATATTTTCCGTAATTTACGAATGCACATTACTCAACTTGTTTGTTTTATTAGCGTGTGGAGTCTTGCTTAGTCTATTTAGAGCTTAAAGTTAACTTCGGTGATGGTTTAGATGTATTACTCCGCAGAGAACTAAAACACATATCAACACATCAATGAAAGGTGTGCAGAGGGATTTTTATCTATATGAGTAACGCTGCTTACTTCCATGCGCAAGAACTTATTTTGTCCCTTCAACTTAAAGATAATGCAAAACTAGTAAATATTACACAAGCGATTTTTTTTCTTTGCTTCATGAAAGACTTGACCAAACTCACTCAACAACCTTTAACAGCATCCACACCGTTTTCGCAAAAGATACTACGGGATCGAAATTCACACCAACAACACGCTTCGATTTCTGGGCCTGTAGCTTCTCTTGGGAGATAACCATACATTTTGGACATATTTACCACGATCTAAAAAGCGACTTCTTCCGTTTGATTTGGCCCATTCTAAAATCATTAAACGAGGAATAGTGCAGAGCTTCATAAAAGCGCATTGGAAAAGTCGTGCGAGTCTACACCTAAAAAGAGCCCCAGTTTCCTTGTGTTTGATGTAGCAGATTGTTTGGCGAGAAGAAAAATTAATGCTGAAACAAGAAACCGGCCAACAGTGGTCCCCTACTTAAATACAATATCTCACAACTTGAGGCGGATGGCTACAAAATATGAAATACAGGTGGTCCTCTCAGCTCCGGACAAACTCAAGATGTGCCCAAGGATCAGTAGACCACAGAAATGCCCCAGTCTATGCATTGTTCACATAAACACCTGTACGTGAATTGCGACGTCCACGTCATCTAAGAAATACCGTGCTGCTGTCGGAAGGTGTATGTAAGTCAAACTTGACGTTGTGTTAATGTGCGATTACGAGACCATGCCATACCTCTTTAACCTTCACCATCAGGGCGCCTTGCCATCCACGTCGAATACTGCCATGCAGCCCCGTGTTTACTCAAACTCTAATCCTCAAGCGCTACCACAGCAAGAGGGCCAGAGAGATTCATGAGGCCAAATGTATCATGGATTGAGGGGACATGTGCATAAGTATTGTTTCAAAAAAAGCAGCATTATCTAGAATTTTTTAAAACGAGCGGGTCGATTTTCTATTCTTGTTTTGTTGTTAATTTCTTAGCGTTTTTTTTCTTCTTTTTTCAGTGTTTTATAGAATGTATTCACTTAGCTCACTTTGTTCACCTCTGTGATACAAGCAGTAAATAATCAGTTGGTAAGCAGCGCTCTGTCCTGTTCCATTGTTCATTCCAGTCCTAGTCTTTTGCGCTATCATTTTGTAATGAGTAACCAACAAGCCCAAGAGTTAATTTTCATTCGATTTTTTGTGCTATGCATCGATGTCGCTGCATATGTCTGTACTTAATTATTTTACTTTCCTGTAATAAGCTATTATGGTTCCTATACAATTTACTGAAAGTTGCCATGAGGTCGAAACTCGGGGCCGGACCTCGTGAAGTAAACAAAAGTTGGCCTTTTTCACGTGGCTCCGGAATTTGCATATATGCAGATGCTAGATAAATGATTTTATCTGAAATTAGCTTGTGACATGAACGGACATATTTTACATTGACATGAGTATGCCCCACTGTATGATACGAACATTGGAGTCCAGAGTGTGAGAACAGCTCTGGTTCAGTTAGCGGGAGTTTATTTAGCTACTCATTTCTCATCCGTAGTTAGTTAGTTTTATGAAGAAAAAAAGTGCACTGACAATCACCCACCTCAATCTAGTATCGCGGAGGATTCAAAAATATATACTGCATCTAAGCCCTTTTTTCATATTTACAAGTTAAACTTTTCTTCAGTGTGGAAGCTAATTCTTCCAAGTTTCTTAATACGAACGAGGAAGTATTTACCATGTTTTCAAGGATAATTTTAAAGTTCCTTATTATCTTTATCCTAGTAAAAATTTGACCTTAATTAATAATTGCACGCATTAGGGATTATTAACATCTTTGAACAAATATATACTGTGATCTTCTGATTCACGGCACCCCCTCCCCCCCAAAAAAAAAATATTTTTTTTTTATTTTTATATAGTGTCAGAAGTCTACCCAATCAGTATTTTGTTACAGGGAAACATATATTTTTAATTAAGTAAAAAAAAAAAAAAAAAGAAACGCAACCGCTTGAAACCGAAACCGAAACTGGACTGGGGAGGAAGAAGAAATACAGAGAGACGTGGGAAAAATCACGTCGCTGTGCAACTTGTTTACTTTTTTTTTTTTAGTCAACGTATTTGCAGTTTTTTAGAAGCCACAAAAAATGGGTTTCGTATTGCTTTTCTATTTTTAATGTTGTGTGTGTGCCTTCGATGACAAGCGACTTCGATTATATTTGGTGGTTGTGTCTAAACAATAGAAAACGGCATGTGACCACTAGAAGCAAGTGAGCGCAATTCAAACCGGCCAGTTCTCGATCGGTGGTTTTCGGGCGAAAAAAAAAATAAAACGAATTTCGAGCCGGGAATTGTTCTTTGAGTAGTTGGGCTCTTATGTCGTGTACAGATAAAAGCCGCAGCAAGCATAAGTACCCTGTCAGTCTTCCTTTAAGTATTAAAATACTTTAGTAGATGTTTAAGAACTATCTAAGATCACGATCGTATTGCAAATACGATCTGCTGAGGGAAGTATTATATCGCCCTAAGAATGTTTTTTATGCTTTTTTCTAGCCACTCTCGAGAGCAATTGTCGTGAGAGCAGAGGACGTACCCTGACGTTTATGTCTCGTGGAGTGCGCATCGTGAGCGGTGCACGGCTATGCTTTTTTGGCACGAAGTGCTTAAACGTGCCCTGAGGAGGTTTCTGAGATCGCCCTAAATGTGGCGACACCTTACTCTGCGGGCTCTAGGCATCTTAGAAATTCATAAATCATAACGCTGCGCGGCCGATTTCCATTATAGGAAAGCAATCCAAGATTGCAACACACCGAGGTCATCTTTGGCGATGGGAGGTGCATTGTTCCGGCAGCCAGGACGACATGTGACCAATGAAAACGCGACATTTTGTTGAGATTGCAAACGCCGTTATTACAAAATGTGTATGTTTTTGTAGACGCTAAACGCAAAAGTGTAGTAAAAAAAATTAAATTTTTCTCGGAGAGCGAACATAATACTTCAATACCCTTCTCAAGAACAACGCACCATGACTTTGTTTTCTTTTTTTTTTTTGTGGGACTGATATGTTCGGTCTTAAGCTCTCGATCGCTCGCTCGCTGGGTCGAATCGTAGTTCGGGCTGTATGGGCAACGAGCCGCGCGCATTCTAGATATCACTCCGGGGTTCCACCAGTCGGAAGCGCGAGGATTCTTCGCTTGCTGTTGGCTGACAGTGGTTCTGGTTTCGGAACATGCTCCTCTCATCGCCGGAAATAACCTCCGTGTATTGCAATTTTAGAGCGCAGCTCTTAGGGGCCCGTTCCCGGCTTGAGCGGCCTCGCCGTCGCCGTCACCGTCGGCGTCGCCGTTGGCGTCGCCGTCGGCGTCGGCGTAACCAAGGTCACCCCAAGGTCACGCGACCCCCAAGGTCACCCCAAGGTCACGTGACACCTCCCCAAGGTCACGTGACCCCTCCCCAGAGGTCACGTGACCCCTCCCCAGGGTCACGTGACCCTCGCGTCACGTGACACCCCCGAGGTCACGTGACCCATCTGAGGTCACGTGACCCCCAAAGTCACGTGACACCCCTCGAGGTCACGTGACCCCCCGAGGTCACGTGACCCACCCTGAGGTCACGTGACACCCACCGAGGTCACGTGACCACCCCCAGGATCACGTGACCCCCCCGCCGAGGTCACCTGACCTCCCAGATGACGTCACCGGCGTCCGCATTGTCATCGTCATCATCACTGATGACGTCATCAGTGACGTCAATGATGACCTCACCGGCATCCGCATCGTCATCGTCATCATCACTGATGATGACGTCGACGGCATCCACATCGTCATTGTCATCATCACGGATGACGTCATCAGTTACGTCACTGATGACGTCACCGACATCCGCATCGTCATCGTGATCATCGCTGATGACGTCATCGGAGTCCGCATCGTCAACGTCACTGATGACGTCATCAGTGACGTCACTAATGACATCATCGGCATCGTCACGTGACCCCTCAAGGTCACGTGACCCCCCAGGTCACTTCAGCCCCCCCCCCCCAGTACCCTTCCCTCCTCCTCCTCAAGAGCTGCGCTCTAATTCGGCGTTACAGGGAGTTGTAAACGGCTTTCACTTTTGTTGATTGCATTTATAATAGGAAAATCGGCCGAGTCTCGTCATGATTTAGGCATTTCCAGCATGCTTAGGGATATCAGATGAAGTGATCGCCATATTTAGGCGATCTCAAGAAACTCCTGGGGGCACCTTTAATTTCTACAGAAATCACTTCCCACCATCATATGAAAATGCAATCTTGTGCGCGCAGCTTTTTATGCAGAAAGCAGGGTTTGTACTGATGTAAGTTCAACGTGAAGTGCATACCGGTAATATATATTGATTGGGTGTTTGCACATAAATAAAAAGTGATTTAGGACAACTATTGCTCCAATAAGAGTCTGGAAGTTTCTGCAGTGTACAGGAGACGAAAAAGGGGAGAAGACTTGTATATAGGCAATTTCGTTTTAAATCGTAAAGGAAAAAAAAATATTAAACACGTTTACAACTCTCTGTGATGCCGAAGTAGAGCGCAGCTTTTGAGGAGGAGGAGGGGAGGGTACGGAGGGGAGGGTATGCCCCTCCTCCCTCTCCCTGCCCTCCTCTCCTCCCATTTAGGGGGAAATTTTCGCTAAATTTCCCGCTAAATTTATCTAGAAACGTTTCCGATAATTTTAGCGGGGACATTTTCCGCTAAATTGAGCGGGAAAATTTGTCCGCGAAATTTAGCGAGGAATCCTTTTCGCTAAACTTAGTGAGGAAATTTTTCCGCTATATTTTGTGGGGAAATATTTGCGCTAAATTTATCGGGGAAATTTTCCGCTAAATTTAGCGGGCAATTTTTTGCTAAGTTTAGAGGAGAATTTTTCGCTAAGTTTAGCGGGAAATTTTCACGCTAAATTTAGTGGGAAAATATTTCGGCTAAACTTAGCGGGGAAATGTTTCCGCCAAACTTAGCTGGGAAATTTTCTGCTGAATTTAGCGGAGGCACGTTTCCGCTTCATTTAGCTGGGAAAGTTTCCGCTAAATTTAGCGGCGAATTTTCCGCCTAAATTCAGCGGGGAATGTTTTTTCGCTAAATTTATCTGTGAAATTTTTTTTGCTAAATTTAGCGGGAAATTCACAGTTCTATGTATTGCAGGTCTTGAGGATAAGGAGGGGAAGGTACGTCCCTGCTACCCTTCCGTACCCTCCCCTCCTCCTCGCCTGCTCCCCTCCCATTTAGCGGGAAATGTTCGCTAAATTTCTCGCTAAATGAAGTGAAAATTTCCCCGCTAAATTTATCGAGAAATTTACCAACATTTTGTTTTGTTTTGTGTTTAAACCACGGAGTCGTCATCGCGAAGTTTGGACAGGAGCACAAAACAGTTGTCTTCTGAACAAATCGGAACTTTGAGCTTTCTTTCTACCATTCGCAATTACGTAACGTCGTATTGCTAGTAAATAAGAACGCGAAATAAACTAGTACTATAAGAATAATGGCAATGGCAAAAAAATCAGAACGCAAGAAAGGAAGAAAAAATTGCTTTTTAACTAACCTAAAATGCCACGCCTTTTTTTCAACTATAGCGAGGTTTACTCAATAAAAAGGTTGTTAATTATAGTGCACTTTAGATTTACACTAATTATTTCTTTCTCATTGTTTTCAGTGATCGGACAAATTGAACACTCAATCTTTTATGTTTGAAAATGCATCTAGTGATTGAATAGCACTATTTTATGGGTGATTTAAATCCAATTATTCTGATTTATATCAAATACATCTTGTTTAAATAAAATACATTTAATTTACTAGGTTAGTTTCATGATTTTTTTCCACCCTGTGTATCCCGGCCAATATGGGCTCAAAACACCAGGCTTTCTTCTCCCTCTGCGGTCCCCACAATCGTTCTTATCTCTAGCCTTGCCAAAAATGTCCCAAGTATGGGACCTCAACTTCGCATTCGATTCCCATATCCCAACCGCAGCTCTCTCAAAAACCGCCAGCTGCACCAAAGAAGCGTGCATAACTATTTCAGCTTGTATGTTCGATAATGCGTACATTTGGTCTCTCAAATTCCGCAAAATCTTCTTTCTAGTGAAATGCAGTTCCAGGGCCACCTCATAGATGGCGCCAGTGTACCAGTGTGCTCCCTCGTCGTGAGATCA